AAGGAGCGTGTGAGTCATGGTGGGAGGAAGTCAGCCTGCAGTAAATTACAAATGTGGCCTAAAGACATAAAAAACAACACATTGGGAACCAACAGGCAACAGAACATTGTGGTACAGTAAAATACGTTGAGTGGCTATAAAGTAATACCTATCTTTGAGAAGTTACAGCCAGGCACACCCTGCACCGGCCTTTGACCTGAACAGCTCATATTAAATTGAACCAGGATGTGATGCATGAATTTCTTTCCTTATCTGTGAGGTGTTGAGTTCCCCCTCTTTCTTCCTTTGAGACTGAGTCATCACCACACTCTTGATGCACCGGTTCACCTTAAAGAGACTTTGAAAAGAGCAGCTTGAGTCTGAGCATGTGATAATTGAAAATCACCTCAAGCTACCTTTTTTGTTTCAAACATTTGGTTGGAAATAAAGTTGTGTGTGCTGCACAAACACGGGATTATAAATACAACCGTCTTTTCTTAAGGTGGACGTCACCATCCTTTTTCCATCATCTGTACCTCGTGCCACATTCGTGCGGACGGAATTAGATTCACAGTTCCCAAATGTACGAGTGTGTATTTGTGCATGAATGTGTGGTCACTCCCAAGTGTATTAAAGTAGCGCGTTGCTGCTGGTTGTGGCTGTCTGTGTGTTCCAACCACAGATTACAGGGTATGTCTGCAGACAGGGCTCTAAACATGGGTCACAAGACGAAACCAAAATGTGACAAGTTCATCTCAGAGAGCCGGTGTCATGTATCTTAACGCACATGTGCTTATATAGCGCAGAATTTTGTGTTATTTCTGTATGCGGGTGCACTGGATGTGTGGTTCTGTATGTGCCTGGTGTCGGACATGTGTTTGAGTCATGCTAAACCGTGGTGGTGTTTCGGTATAAAAAAGCAGCCGTGTGGATTTTCACTGTAAACATGTTCAGTGTCAGAGGCAGAAAAGACATCCTACTGGAAGCAAAGTGTGTGTGTTGTGGTTTCTCAATACAGTTTTTGCTGTCAGATAAGGATAAAACCCAACATTATTCAGACATGCGTGTTTATTTTAAAACGAGGGTAGTTTATCTGAATAACTCACCACAGATTTCTATCAGTCAGTTTTTTTAAACCTACTCTTTAAATCTTTTTTTATTTCTGTAGTTGTTTCTGCCATGCAAATACTTTTCCAGCATATGTAAAAAGGCGCAGTTACGGCCTGTCCACACAGCAGCGTTAAAAAATCTTGGAACGCTTCTGCCCATTCACTTTGAATGGGGTGACGTCACTCTGCCTCACTTTTCGCCGAACTGCATTGTGGGCAGCAGAGCGGAGATTTTCAGGATTCAAAGTTGAGCAATGTTCAACTTTTGAAGCTGAGGTGGAAGCGTCAGCCAATCAAATCCCGTGTATGCAAATCTGACAGTTCAAGCTCTAGCCAATCAAACCGCGTGTATGCTGGGAGAGACATACCGCAGGTCATTTCCTCATATTCCAAAAAATGGAGGAGAAATTAGCGGTAGGGAATCACCCGGTGCTTTATGACCAGTCCCTATTTACCTACCGGGATATAAACCGGAGGAGCCAGGCATGGAGGGAGGTGGCAGAGACAGTGGTAGGTTTTCGCCTGTTTGGGGAGTTTATATCCAGTTTACTTCAAACTTTTTTGCTTCGTATGTCGGGGGCGGGAGATTCATGTGATTGGTTGTTGGTGCCTTGCTCGCAAAAAATCCCCAAGCTTCAGATACGCCCACCTCCAAGATTCTTTTAACGCTGCTGTGTGGACGGGCCGTTATTGGCAAGAAAGCAGTGGTGTAAAGTAACTAAGTACATTTACTCAAGTTCTGTTATTTAAGTACATCTTTAAGGTACTTGTACTTTCTTTAGTATGTTCATTTTATGCTACTTCATATTTCTGATCCAATTATATGGATTAAGATGATTACAAAAAAGTATTTCTTATTCTGATTCAAATTGTGCTCACATCCATGGAACCCTTATAATCCAGCAATCCAATAAATGGTCATTCTGCATAATGACTACTTTTAGTTTTGTTACTTTTATGTCAAGTTTGATGCTTACTACTTGTGGTGTGTTGCAGCACATTAAAACATGTAAACGTGCCATATTAGAGTCAACAAGTACAATTATGAAACCTAAAAATGAGTGTAAGTGCGCCCCTTTAAGTAACATTTTGAATACCAGACTCTTACTTGTATCAGAGTACTTGTACACAAGTGTATAATTACTTTACTTTAGTAGAAGATCCGAGTACTTCTTCCACCACTGCAAGAAAGTTAGTGCTCGAAGAAAGATCTTGCATATGGAAAAGCACAAGTCAACCATGAAGACATAACATAACGTTGATTAAAAATCCAGTTGTTAAAGGCCTAGCTGACAGGTCTTATTCAATGAAGCTGCTGGTAAACGACATTCCTTCCTCTCAAATCAGGAAATAATGGGATTATAAATAGATCATTGACGTTTCTGTTTTCAATTTCCATTATTATTATTGTTGCCATTCAAGTTTCCCACGTGGCTGAATATTTTCCTCCGCCCATTGTGGTTTGATGAATGAAACGACGCCTTCCTACAAACTGTACCACGAACAGTTGCAGCCTGCCAATAACAACTATACTTTTCCAGTGTTTTTATTTTGAATCTCCACCGTCTCCACAGTCTTAATTTACTGCTATTTGTTTAAGAAATACTTTTGCTAATATTAACTTCCTTTCCCTTACACAATAAACTTTAAATATCTGAAAGGAAAAGTCTCATTTGAAGACGGGGATTCAGAGGAAGTATTTTCTAAGTGTGTGCATATGTGTTTGTTTGTGTGTGTTTACATGAAAGTGCAAACCTTGTAGGATAATCTATAGTTGCTTTTCTGTACGGGTTGTTTGTGCTCTGTCACCCAGTCAGTTTGTCTGTCATTCAGTCAGTTTTATGAATGTGTGTGGGCGGGACTCGGTGAACCAGTTTTGCCACCTGTGTGTTCGTGTGTGTAAATGTGCGCGCGTGTGTGTGTGTGTGTGTGTACATCAAATCCCTGGGACTGTCTGTAAGCTAATTATATAACAACACCTCTCTCATTCACTCCTACTTGTCCTCTCTTTCTCTCTATCCCTCTGCCGCCCAGACACACACACACACACACACACACACACACACACACACACACACACACACACACACACACACACACACACACACACACACACACACACACAGTGCAGCGTGGATGGAATACACACAGAGGTACATCCTGTTATTGTCGGATCATTCATGTGTTCAGTGTGTCCCTGTGAGGGCGGCGGCTGTCATGCTCACGCTTGACAATGTTTTTTTGTATTTTAAAATTCACTCTCCATTGTATCGTCTCATGTTAAACTCACTGAAGACTCTATAGACTGCAGTGTAGAGGGAGTTTTTGTCATGAATTGTTTTGCTGTGCTGTTTAGACTAAACTGTAGCTGTTGTTGTATGGAGGCTTCACAAACTAACCGAAGCTGCAAGACAATAACTCTGGTTGAATCTGTGAAGGATAAGTCTCATAATCACTGCATCTGGTGATGAGAATTATTTTTTAATACATTACGAGTGTATGAAATGTCAGATAATAGCCAACCTGAGTAAAAGGGTGATGACTTAAAGTTGTGTTGTTTTGTTATTGACAACAATATTAAAAAGAGCCATAATGGGAAATACTCCTCACACTTACCATGTCTTTGAAAAGCCTATGTGTTTATGTAGATATTTTTTAATCGATGACACATTGTGACTTAATTAGCTTCTTTCTGCTATTTATAAAGCATTGATTTGAGGATATTGAAGTTATTAAAAGGTCAAAATCTTGTGTTTTTTCTCATAGTTTAAAGGTATTATTAACAGCACTTTTTGTTATACTTTAATAGTGACAGTTGAAATACAGACAGTAAATGATTTAGAGGGTGAATTATTACCTCAGGAAAAGGTTTAATCGAGGTGTTAAGATATGCAAATTATGACTCTTTGTTTCAATTAAGTTAGATGACATCCTAATACAACAGCCATATTTATTCTATATTGCATTTATTTAAGCGAGGTGGCCTATCTCTGCTGTAATATCGTTTGATTATTTTGGTGGCTAAGTATATGATTGAATGATCATCCCATTTTGAAATGAACTTCTCGCTGAACTACCTCCACAGTAAATGCAACACCGGGCTGCATATACATTAAAGTGTGTGTGAGTGTGTGTTTGTGCAGACTTCTCCCGGTGCGACACCTCCCACCTCACACAGCGAGGACGAGGCGAAGTCGTGACTTGAGAGACGCCCTCAAACATTCTGCTTTGTGTGAAGGCAGATCTATAATTGCCGGCTGTGGCATTAACACACTCTTAAGAATTAAAACTTGAGTTTGAGTTAACAGAACAGATACTTCTCACAGGTTGGGGCCAGGATGACATGATTGTTGTTTCCTGAGGGATCATTTTTGTTTGCTGAAGAGTTTTTGTGTTGCGTGGAAAGGATTTGGTTCATTAATGCTCACCTGGTATCTTCTCACAGTGATGTTTTTAAAGTCAAAATTATTCTTTTTGTCATAGATCCTACAGCTAATAGGTGTAGTTGCATTGTCTTTGTATTAGTAACAAAAATAGCTGTGTGTATTTGACAACTCACCATATTCTAATCAATCTGGAACATAATAATACAAGAATCTGATATTCATTTTGGATTAGTTTTAATATCAGTTTATCTGTGTGTTTAACTAGGTGTAACGGTTTTGTTCTTATTACACAATAACATGCAATCATATGGTGGCGATTTTGAGATTGTTTTGCTTTCATTCATAGCTGCTGCACATATTAACTAACATCATCAACAAATAGGAACATGACAAATTCTATATGAGCATATACATGTGTAAATAAAAGTGTTTTGAGACCTATTGACTCTTTCGATTATAACCCCACCCTACTTTATATAGACATTTCCGATATCATGCTAATAGTTCTCCCTTTTTCTCTGTGCAGTGACAGCTACATCGTGCGTGTGAAAGCGGTGGTGATGACGCGGGACGACTCGAGCGGAGGCTGGCTGGCCGAGGGTCCCAGCGCTCTGAGCCGGGTGGGGGTCTGCCGCCTGCTGCCGCCCGAGATGGGGCTGCTGCCGACCTCCAGCGGCTCTCAGTTCATCATCCGGGGGGAACGGCTGCGGGACAAACAGGTACGACCACACACACACACACACACACACACACACACACACACACACACACACACACACACACACACACACACACACACACACACGTATTAGCTTGTATCTGTACTTATAGATGCACTTTTGTCTGTTGTGCGTTTATGGGTTTGTATTCATTTGCTTCAATATGTGTTTTAATATGTGCCGTCATTGCTTAAGCTAGTGTGTTATTTATATGATTACATGCTCTAGTATGTATTTTTTTGAATAACATCAACCTGCAAACAACTGCAGACGATAATTAGCCTCTATCGCTACATCAGGCACATTTACATAATGGACCTTCCGTACACCAAATGACATCTTTAAAAAACGTATATGGTTAGATGTAATTAATATGGGTATTTTCTTCCAACAGGTGATCCTGGACTGTCCTCTGAGGAAGGACCTTGTTTACACCATAGCTACGCCCACATTTCACCATTGGAAGGTGGAGAACATGAAGTGTGGGCTCTCCTTTCAGAGTCCAGCTGAGGCCAGAGCGTTCGACAGAGGCGTACGGAAAGCTATCGAGGACCTGGCTGAAGGTACGGGGAACAACGAATAGACGCACAAAACTTTTTTTCCACAAAGTCTATCTGCTGTCAGACGATGAGCTGCAGAGTTAACCATGTAAAAACATTATCCTTGACTTTTTGATAGTTGAATTAAAGGATGTTTTGTTCCCTGTAGGCTCCACAACCTCATCTACAGCACTCCAGAATGAGGGCGAGCTGGGTGACGACGACGTCTTCACTGTAAGTACATTACTATACTATGCAAGTACTTAATATGGGCTGAGGAGAGATTAAGTGCTATCATGTTACCAAGTAAGGTGTCATGGTACAATAACTAGTATGTTTCAAGGCTAAAGAAAATGCCCATGATCATTTATTCAATAAAAACCAAGAGGTGCCTAAACATTTCTCCTTTCCTGGTTTTGTCCATGAAGCAGAAAGTGTTTAACTTCACTCTGGGTCCCCTCCCTGTGTCACGTATACCTGCTGCAGCACAAGAACTGTGTGTGTGTTGTGGGTTTGTGTGTCTGTTGTTTGTGTGTCAGGGCCTCTCTACCTTAAGTTAGCATGAAGGTCCCCCTCCCCCTACTCCGTAACCTGACACCAGGAGCAGCAGGCAGGGTCACAAGGTCACTTCCTGTATCCCACCACCTCTTTCCCTCGTGACGACCCCCCCCCCCCCCCCCCCCTCCTCCTCCTCCTCCTCCCTCTCTCACCCACCCTCCCGGTTGAAAAAGAGAGCTGCCACCAAACTAGCAGCTAGCAGCTGTTTCCCAGCTTAGTGCGGGCCGGTGATTTACGAGAGGAAGTGCCTCGTGGTTCATCTTTGACTCGAGCTGTCTGTAAGGGCCAAGACTAATAGGTGTTCTGCTGGGAGTGTACAGCCACCACAGAGACACATACAAACACATGAGGGGGGGGTCGGGCTACAGCGATGTCAGAGGGTGGAGCATCAGGTTTTCAGGAAAGTAGGAACTTTTAGTGCAACAAATTCAAGGCGATTCATTGGTGTTGTTGCTTTAAAAGCTGCCATATTGACCCCAAATGACACTCAGCTGCTCACTTTTATAGCTATGTGGAGGCTCATGATAACACAAATAATGACATCTCCTCCATTTATATATGTAAGAATTATACAGGAAACTACTGAGATCATTGCAACGTTTTTGACGGCTTCATTATTTAAGCAGGTTGAGAGTTCGCCACAAGCTCAAACGGCCCTGAAAATCACCTAGACTGGGGACTTATTTTGCATTTCTACTTTGAAATTTGTACCTGAACACATGACAGACATTACAGCTAGCAGCCAGCTGACCTGCACACACACCTTTTATATTAATATATACAGTCTATGACACACACACACACACACTCTTTGCCAGCATTAGAGGAATTGCCAGCCTGTGGTCTGTATTTGAAATCCAAAAAAACAACAGTGTTTAGGGATGATAAAATCCAGCCTGCCACTTAACGGGCTATCTTTAAACCGTCTCGTTATGTGTCTGATGGCTAGCGCTTTTAATTTAAGCTTTGCACTGGTGAAGTCATCAAAAGGGGTTGTGGTAGACGACAAATAACATGATTGAAAGCACAGAGCATTGAGTGCAGCCACTACAAATTGTGCAGGGCATATGAGGTCCTGCAGAGGAAATACAAGGCTAAGGAATTTCACTATTTCCTTCAGCAAGCCTTATCTTGTCTTGTTAATAATCATCTTACATTAACATGTTAACAAATTAACATCCATGGGATATGGGTTCATTTCTGCTTGTGTTCCTCTCAGCCAGTGCTAATGACCTTTCCTAAAGTTAGCGGTGGCGGCAGTCGTGGACAGGGGGAAATGCAGCAGCAGATTTACAGTCTTTAGGGTGGAGGGGGCCAAGCTAGGATGGACATACTTCCCTAAATTATTCCTCGTTCGCCAAACCTAAACTTAACCCAACCCTTCCTCTGTCCCTCCCTTCAGCACGTCTCCCCTCTCTCTCTCTCTCTCTCTGTCTCTATTTTGGCTCATTCACAACAGGGGGAGTGAGAGCTATTGAAGCAATTCTGGGCTCATCCCAGGAGAGCGAGACGGGCCTGTTGAAGGATGGAGCTTTTGAGTCGGGACATGTTTTGTATCAGAAAATAACTTGAAATGCCCTCTGTTCAGCCTTGGGCCAGAATATATAGAGAGAGGATGTCCAGAAATATAAAGTCTCCCCCTCAACTTCTCTCTGTTTGCCTCTTGGTAAAAGCCTGGTCTGTGTTTTGAATTAGTTTCAGCCGTGGAGGCCAGAGTCGACTGGTTTTAAACCGTATCGGCTCCTCCCCCCCGGTAATGTCTTCTGCAGGGGGGCGGGCCCGGAGAGAGGCAGCATGTTATGTTATTTTTGGCCGGCTGCTCTGGGGGCTTTGTAAGAAAGCTGGGGGAAATTCTCAGCATGGCGGTATCCATGTGGGGAGCAGGATATAATAGGGGATCGCTTCAGCAGACAGACGGACAGACACACACCAGATCGTGCTCGTATAACTCTGGCAAATAATTTTTTGCATTGGTTAAAGGGCCAGGTTTTGACACACGGGACACATATTTTGCCAATTTAATAAAGTTTGAGGGGAAATTGTGTTTTGATTTACTAGGGGGGCTATGTTACCTGACAAGAAACCGTGGTAAAACTGCAATTTATATAGTTGATGCAGTTCAGTGAGGAGAAACAATGTTGATTTTGTTTTGACAACCATAGTATAACACCGGTTTGAAGCATATCGGGGGATGGAGGGAGTCTCAAAATCTTAACTAATATTTTTTCTCACATACAGCCTTCAATGGGTTGTGTGGTTTTGAGTGACGTTTAAAAAAAAAAAAAAAAAAAGGTTAGATGGATTGCTCTAAAATGTTGTGCACACTTTCATGTCCCTCCCAGGATTAATTGAAATCACTTTGTTGATCCCTTATTTTTTCAATAATTCCAATAATTGGGTTTATTGAAATCCCCCTTAGCAGTGGTAACAACACGGCAGCTTCTCTTCCTGGGGTCTTCAAAATGTTTAAACAAAATTAAAAGACAATTACTGACATCTATATGAGACTCAACTTTACGCACAAGAACATTAACACGACACGATAATGCAGATCCTGTCTAGTAGGCTACACCAGATGGCTCTAGACAGCGTATTTGTATTTAAAAGGCCACGCGCCTCCTCTAATTACAAATAAATAATGATAGATAGCTCTGTACATGAATATCACACCATTAAGCACATGTTAGCATGCTAACAGGCTCAACTGAGATGATGGATATGTTGAACACGCTAGCAATGCCATTGTGATCGTATGGCCATGCTAGTGTTAGCATTTAGCTGAAATCACTATGCCAAAGTACAGCCTTCACAGAGCCATTAGCATTGCTCTGGACTCTAGTTTCATCATACTGTACATTGCGAGCAATCTAGGGGTTCAGTTTCTTGCTCAAGGACACTTCAACATGTGTTCAGGAAACATGGGTTTGAAACACCAACCTACTTTGCTAACTGAGATACAGCCAACATCTATTTATTTTAGTATTTCCAGTAAAAGTTGAGTACAACCGGGAACATTTGAGTACAATGAATATCAAATTTCACTCAGGTTGATTTTTCTTCAGTTCAGGGAAAAAAGAAAGCTTATAAATCTTATTGCTGCTGGCAGATGTTGACGAGGTAAAATAAAGCCAAACCTTTATCGTGGACAAGCTTGTGGACCCTTGATACAAGTTTATATTGCATTATTGACCCATGGTGGAAGCATGGTTAAACAAATGCAGACAGAAACAGATCTTTTTCTTTTCAACAAAATAGGCTAACATTGAGTTAAGAAAGGTGTTGTGAGGACAGCATATTATCTAATCTATTGTCGGTAGATGCTGAAACTTTAAACCCTCCAAGAGATAAAACCAGTTCTTCTTCTCACACACAAACACTAGCATCCTTTTTCATTGGGTCCAACACATCTTGAATATCTCACCCGTAGGCCAACACATAACCAGGATGACATGATGAGACAGGGGTCCTATCAGCTGGTACACCCCCGACCCCCCACAGAGGCTGACCCCCAGTGTGCCGGTCTGAAATCTGTCTGTCTGAGCGCTACACGGCTGCGAACCGACTGTCTAGTGTCTGGCCAAGGTTTGAGTTGGAGCGGAGCCCTGACAGGCTTTAGCGGAAAGGGGACAGGATACTGTTCACACAAACACACACACCAACCGACAGGCGGGAGAGGTGGAAAAGAGAGAAGGGAAGGAGGAATGTGTAAAAAGTGAATTTGAGGGAAGGAGGACAGGTTGTTGGGGGTGAGGAGGAGGACGAGGAGAGGCCAAAAAAAGGCGAAACTGCAAAAAATGTGTGTGTGTGCAGATTGCTGGCTTCATGATATCAAGTCAAGCCACCAGCTTGATCTCAAGCATGATAAATAATTATCTAACCTGTCAAACAATGTCTGTATTGAAGTGTATTCAACAGTTGAAGGTTTTATACATTTGATAGTTGTTGATTTTAGAGCTGAAAGGATTAGTCAAATACACCTTATTTCCTTTCAGGGTTAGGGGTGTAAGAAAATAAGGATTATTTTCATTCTGGGAAAATGTGAATTCCTTTGTTCAGACAACACATGTATTCCTGTGGTGTTTAATGGTGAAGGGTCTGTAATGAATGCAACTGCCGATCTGTTCCGATTGTATGAAAAAGTTGTATTTCTTTAGATTGGATGCTTATAGGTGGTGTGTTTTTTATACTATAACAGTACTGCAATATGTTGTATTTCAACCACTTTTGGGTTTATTAAAAATATATACTTTGAGTTTTAACCTCATAAATGCAAACGTATGGAGTCTTATTCATCAGTCTTGTGATACATTTGGCTTTTATTAAGGTTATAATGTTCAGTTTAAAGTGTGTTAGAGAGGTGTTCAACTATAGGATCCTTTTGGAGGCTGCAGTTTGTGCTGCCATTGGATATACCAAGGTGTTTCTAATATTTTGTCCATTCCATTTATATAAACCACGGATATCCTAATTTATGTGTCATTGCTACAGTGTTTTCTTCTTGCCTGTTGCAGATGTTTTATGGCAGATGTTGTTTATAAAAGTTTAACTCGCACACAGGGATCCAAATGTGGATCAAGTGGCTTGAAAACGGGGCTCAAGCTTCCTGTTTTTCCCAATCAGAGCTTCGCCAAGGCTTCCTGTTTTTGTTTGCCCAATCATGGCGTCCTTTCGCAATAACTATTTGTTTGGCGTATCCAATCTGAGAGCAGCTTTTGACCGGCATCCTGTGTTTGTTTGTGTCCTCAGAACACCACAGACAGCTCATCCAACTCCTCCCAGAAACTGGAGAGCTCTCTGCCGCCGCTCGAGTCCTCGCCCCTTCCGCAGAGACACAAGTGCATGCTGGGACATCGCCACGACCTCCACGACCCCTACCGGCTCACAGACCACTACTTCATGGACCCGGTGAGACATCCAGTAACATCGAGCAGCGATGCAAAGAGTCAAATTTAAATTGTTTAGCTATTTATTTACACTCAATATATATAGGTATTTACCAGTTACAAGAACAAACAGTATGAGTTTTTACAGCCAGCCGTGTTTAACATTCATTCTGTCTTTCTCCTCAGCCGTTGTCTCGGCTTCCCCGTCATGTCACCTTCCAGGAAGACGAGGAAATCGTCCGCATCAACCCTCGGGAGCGGAGCTGGGAACGAACCACCGAGCGCCACTATGGACGCCCGTCGGACCGCCCCTCTTTCACGGGCTACGAGGACTACCGACACGCCACCGTGCGGGACAAGTTCATCCAAATGGAAGACTCTGAGTCGTACGTACACTTTGCCAAGACAGAGTCGCAGAAGCACGACTACACCTACCCTCTGGCCCCCGCCCTGTCGCCCTCAGACTCTGACCCCGCTCTCGGATCCTTGGTCAATAAGGGCCAGGGCGGCTCGTACCGCCAGGGCTTCTCCTCGGTGGTCTCCGTCCAGCCTCGATCCTTCCTCCCGAGCTCCTCACCGTCCACAAATGGCGGGAAGGGGCGAAAAGAGGACGGGTTGGAGCGCGCTCAGTGTGAGCATTGCGGCGAGGCTTTTTACATCACCGACAACCGGAGAGGTCGGTGCCACGATGCGCCGGACCCTGTGCAGGGGTGCATCCGGAGGGTCAGCTGCATGTGGCTGGCAGACACCATGCTCTACCACTGCATGTCAGACCCAGAGGGGGACTACTCGGACCCCTGCTCCTGTGACGGGGGCGAGGGCGGAGGTGGAGGCCGATTTGGTTCTCGCTGGTTAGCGCTGCTCGGTTTATCTCTGGTGGCGCCGTGCCTTTGTCTCTACCCGCCGCTCCACGCGTGTCACCGGGCGGGGCTGAGGTGCGGCTGCTGCGGAGGCCGACACAAAGCCCTGAGCTGAGGAGAGGAACAATGACAAAAACCTAAAAACCCAACGCAAGCACAGGGAAAGGGAAGGATGGGGATGGGGATGGGGATGGACACGGAGGGGACAAAGTGGCTGCTCACTCTCTTGCCTTGGTTTCTCTGGGATTCTCTACAAATTCCAGACACTGAAATAAGCCAAATATAAAAACAGTTGGTGCATTTTCTGAACGGCCTGGGAAGATAAGCTCCCCCTTACGGCAGACAGTTCTCTCAGCTCTCCACGTGGCCATTTCATGCTCTGTTTCTAGAGAGAGAGAGCACTCTTTTTCAGGGGGCCTTTTTTTTTTATAGCTGACCTATATGTCATGTATCACATATGCAGGTACTTTATACTTTGTACACTGACTCGGCGTCAAAGAACTTGAATTGTTTCTTTGTTCTTTTTTTTCTTTCTCCTTTGATGTACGCGTGGCCATTTTGTTTATATTCTATTCCAATATCAGGCCCGCTCAACTCCAGCTACAAGAGAATCAGACACTACACCTCTTTGCGTGTGTGTGAGTGTGTGTGTATGTGTGTGTGTGGATGGTATTTGTGCGAGCTAACAATGCGCACCGAGGCCTTTTGTTGTCTATACTGCAGCTATAGTCTACATAGCTCTCCACCATCGACATCTTCTTTGTTCGCCGAAACAAACGTGGTACTCATCTTAATCTTCTAATATCCCAAAGATTCTTGTTTTTATCCTATTTATTTCTCACTGAATTGATCTACCAGCAAATAGGGTGCTGGGTTGTGATTCACTCAACTAACGAGACGGTGCTTTAAATCAAGCTAGCATTCGTCTCCCTGCTCCTTTCACGTTATTTCAAACAGTGCCTAAACTTTCACCTAAACCAGTAACCAGTCTTATAATTCCAGTCAGTTTCTTGACACATACACACAAAGCGGTGTCAGACTATAAGGCTCTGATTTCCTCATCCTCCGCAGAACCTTAGTCAGCAGTCAAGGATGAAAGAAAAAAAAAAAAAATCAGAGATACCATTAAACTTGGTTCCCGTTATGCCTTAAAATGTGGAGTCTGGCTCCAAACTTCACCCCCATCCCTCTGAAGATGTCTGCTTTTAATGAAAAGCGTGAGCACGGTTACGGCTCCAAGCAATCAGCCTCAACACATACTCTTTTTAAATTGGTTTAAACTATTTTTATACTGAAAAGGAACTTTTAAGAAGGTTCTGATCAAGTGTGTAAACTAAGGACTCCAGTGTGCTTGCGGTGTACAATCAGCTCCCATCTTTTTGCCTCGTCCTTCAATGAAGCCCACCAGTCACATACTGTATGAGTAACAGAGACTAAAAACTGTTATAAAATGATAAATGTAAATACATTTCTTAAAAACTCCTTACTAGTGAAAATTAGTACAAAAGCTTTTGTTGCCTAAAACAAAGTTATGAATGACCTTAGGCCTCTAGAATGTCACTACAGCAATGTAGTGAGTTTTATTTTACACTTATACATAAAGATGTGTCATTCTTCTGTTGAAAGAAGAATAATCTGACATTTTAAGAAACACAAGATTCGTTTGAGGAAAAGATGGATACACTGTCTTGTCTCTGAGCCTGAAGCACGTTAGCTTAGCTTAGCATTAACATTGAAACGGGTGTAAACGGCTAACTTCGCTTTATCTGAAGGTAATAAAATACAACTATGGGCACATTTAAAACTCACTATTCAATAAATATACAATATAACGTTTGTTTTAGAAACTAAAGTGTAAGAAGCTATGCTAGCTGTTTCCCAGTCTTTGTGCTCAGCTTGGAAGAAGAGTATTTCCCAAAAATCTTAAACTATTCTATTAAGGTCCAAAAACGTTTTACTTAATTATAGATACAAATAAGTGACAACTTGCTGAAACCTCCATAACATGTGACTGGTGGGCCTACAGCATTTGGGCCAAAAAACTGGGCCTTACTGCGCCTTATGCCTAGGGGATGTGACCGGGAAGACGATCCTCTTAAGAATTACAAAGAAAAAGGATTAGCAGGACATCAGTAGGGTCCCATTGGTAAAGAACGGTAGTCCAAAACAAACAAACATCCACCCCTGATTGTTTTGCCAAGGAAATGTCACTTGCTGTAGTTGAAATACAGAATGCCTGAGGATGTCCTTTTCCCTTCCCTGGTTGTGTCTGTTTCATACATCCTGTCCTGTGTACCAGTCTGTATGTCCTTGGTGTGTGTGAGTGTGTGTGTGAGTGTGAGTGTGTGTGTGTGTGTGTTTTTCCCACATCCCTTCTCCTGCTCCTTGATCCAAAGCTACTGGGATCAGCTGAAAATGCCATCACATGCGAAGTTAACATCTATCCAGTATAATCAGATTCTACGATGATGTGATGTTTCAGGGACGGGACCAATCAGATTGGAAAGAGTGTGTGTGTGTGTGTGTGTGTGTGTCAGCGTTAATCTTTTTTCTCTCTGTCTCGTCCGGTGTTTAAGTGTATTCTCACATGTCAGAGCCATTTACAAGTGCCTGAACGCATCCTCTTTATCTCCTTGTATTTAAATTGAAAAAGTAAAGAAACAAACTCCCTGTATTGAATTAGACCCATTTTTTACGCTTAGTATTTTTACCTCTGTAAAAAAAAAAGAGCAAAAATTATATTATATATATCAAGTGTATGTTGTACATTTTTATTTCTATTTGTTTTTTTTAAATAACTGTTTCTAACATGTACGATGGATGTAGCTCTTGCTTTGAGAAGGAACAGGAAGTACTTTGTAGATACTGAAGGGTGGCCAGGTCTGTGAGAAAACTAAAGTGAAATGTGTGTCTTACCTTCCGCCTCCAATAAAATGAGAAAACAGTGAAACCACACGCGTGTCTGCTGGTTTATTTTACTCTCTAAATGAAGGTACTTCCCCATGAATGTCTACAGTAACTAACCGCAGCTTTTCTGCTGCATGCATTATCATTTTCTTCAATGTAACTTCTGTTTTATTCTATTCTAAGTGCATGAAATCAGCTCAATTAAGGAACAACAAGTGTTAATGGATTTCTGCATGACATAAAACTGAAAATGTAAGAAACTATAAAAGACAACCTTAGGAAATGTTAAGATATGCCCATCTGTGGTGCTGTACTTGGGAACGGCTGTGCTTGAGCTAAATGCTAACTAAAGAAAACTAACAATGCTAATAAGCTGATATTTACCCTATTGGTGCCAGATACAGGCCAAAAGTATTTGTTCAAGTTTAAGGATATTTCACCATTAACCAGTTAAGTATTGCAACACAAAGTCATGGGGTGATGCTTGAGCTACATGCTAACTTAAGCAAACGAAGAATGCTAATATGCTGATATTTAAAAAGATTTATTTCGCGTTAGCATGCAAAAAGATTGCCTATTAGTGCCAAACACAAGTATAGGTTAACATGAATGCCCTTAGTTTGGAAGATATTTGATCATTAACCGAAAGTATTGAAACAAAATGTAATGTGGTGATACAAGCTAACTTAAGTAAACTAACAATGCTAAATTAACATCGTTTTTGCATGTTAGCATCCTTAAATTAGTTAATTACTGCCCAACACAGGTACAACATGAATGTCTTCAGTTGCGAAGATATTTGGTTATTAACCAAAATATTGAAACAAAAGGTCATGGGTTGATCAAGAGAAGGGAGAAACGTTTTTCCAAAGTATGGTTCATCATCACTTTCTGTGGTAAAGCAAATCTTGGGGCATAGTTGTTTTAAGTAGCGTTAATCACATTTTTTGGAGGACCGACTCATCCAGATTTAACAATAGCTTGAAGCCATGCAAAAAGTCCCTAAAACAATCCATAATCTCTAGAGTAAAATAATTGCTAGGGAGAAAGGATGTCCTCCATGAGTTGAACAAGTTCAGTCAAGGCTAAGGTTTATTTTGTTTAAAGTAATACTTCCATAGTTTAATGCCCCAAAACTCCTAAGTAATTAATGAAAAAAAGCACAAAGAAAATTCCTCAGTGGAGAACATTCTCTTCAAGATGTCTCTCCCTCCTCAGCAAGAACATGTGATAGCCATCGAGGACGTCGAGCTGTTTCACTCAGGATGTCTCTGGAAAAGCATGTGGGCGATAATGATGGAGCGCGAGAGAGGGGAGGGGGAGGGAGAGGGAGAAAAAAGAAGAAAAAGACGGTCCCTCAGGGCTTTTGGGGGCCTGCTAAGCAGCTCAACGGCTGCAAACAGCATCACAGTCCACATGTGCAAACATTTAAGATATCTGCTGGTGTAATGGGGTCAGCGTGGCCCCTCTCTGTGCACGGAGCACCGGAGATCTCTTCCCACTGAAGTTTTGAGGAATGGGTGGCTCGTCCCGCACCAGTGCTGTGGTTTCATGTCCAAAGATAGGCAGAGTTTTGATGATTTCCACTTAGTTTTGTTCTACATTTGCACCATGTGAGTATTGGTTATGCAACATTTGAGCCTGTTGAGTTTCACCGTCAGGTCTGAATTACCTGATAAACTCACAGAGCAGAGATGTTGCAGTGAAGCTAGTAAAGCTTACAAGCAGCTGGATAATTGTTTCAGCATTCCCTGACTGAGATCAAACCCACCTGAGATAAACTGGAAACATCTCTCTACTCCCACCCTGTGGAAAATGGAAAGGGATTGTTCAAAACAACTTAGCAATATAGAAAAATAAAACAACAAGTTTTAATTAAGTCTGTTAAAAGTAATCTAAAAGTTAATTATAAGTCATTGTTTTAGCACTGACATGTACTCAAGCATTTGCAGTTAGAGTAATGTTAGTGAGGAATGGTTCCTGAGTCAAAATAGTGATGCAATATCGTATGTTAATATATCAGTTTTCAAAAAGACCCACAAATATATTTCCAGATTTTACTTTAAAGTGTGAAATATCTGAAAAACGTTGGTCGACTGTCATCGACACAAATATGTTCAAGTTGTCATGTGAGCCCTACAAATATTGGTTTTGGATATTTAAGCATGAAAAAGAAGATTGTTGAAAGAAAAGTTGAGATTTTCACCTGAAAAATATCTGACAGAATGTAGACCTTGAATTTGTGGAGATAAAAAAAACTATTCAAGCTATCAGATGAAATACTGTACATGAATTGGAGTGAAACAAAGAGTATTTCCTTCTGAGATGTAATGTCAAAAGTCCTTTAAAACTGCACCACAGTGCTTTGTCCTCTGTTGAGAGGCGTCTGTTTGTGCTCTGATGGGGAGGAAACTTCAAACGGGGCTTCAGAGGTAACAGTTCAGGGTTAAGAGGGAAGTGGCAAGAGTCAAGGGATTAAAATGGAACAAGGCCGGAAGAGTCTGGGTGAGATCTTTATTTCAGGCTCGGAAAGAGAGCCTCTTCCTCTGGTGGCGCCAGTCCTCTGCCACTGTTCCATTTCCTCTTCCTCCTTCTGCTCTGTGGCTCTGTCACCTCCGTACCTCCATCCTTTAGTTTAGTTATCTATCAACTCCTTCTATCTCACCTCCAGCCCTCTGCAAAGACTGGAGTGTAACTCAATTTGCAACTCATTCATCAATAAAAGAGCAGAAATGGTAATCGGTAAATTGTGCAACATTTGATGGATGCATGTTCTCAAATGTAGGAATCTTGTACCTCTCTTTTGTTTTTCATTATAGTAAACTACTTATATGAAATGAGGCCACATTGAACTCAAGGACTTTGGGACTTCATATTTTTGAGAGTTGCAGCCTTACAAAAGACATACACCTTCAGGCATGGTTAAAGGTGGGGTAGGTAATTCTCCTCAGAAACACTTGTTATATTCCATGGAATGCTCTTAACATCCCGATAGCAATGAATATATTAAATGCTTTGACAATAAATACATAAAAACATGTCATCTGTGGAAGCCGTGGCGCTGTAAAAAGCACGACCAATCATCTGAGCCGGCCCGGCTAAAATAACTGGATGTCCTACCTGCCTGTCAGCCTTCCATCTCGTGCACAAACTTATCTCGTGCCCTCATTGGTCATGTGCGCGTTCGTGTGTGTTGGAGGAGGGGCTCTGTAAGGAAGTCTGAAGGAAGGGGCAGATTTCTTTCGGCTGCGTACTTTCAAATTCTAGCGCACTAGAGCTGGTTTCTCCATTCTTACCTACCCTACCTTTAAGGAAATGTTCTAAAATCTAACCTAAGTTGCACATTTTACTCTACTTGACCTAAAATCAATTCTGAAACATCTTCAAATCCATCATTTAATGTTTAAACGCTGTAGATAGCCGATTTGCATACTCTTTTTCTCTCCAGTTTGATGTTAAAATGTTCAGTTAAAACCATAAGGTAGGGTAGTTATAAGAATGGAGAAACCAGCTCGAGTGCGCTAGAATTTGAAAGTACACAACCGGAAAAAATCTGCCTCTTCCTTCAGACTTCCTTACAGAGCCCCTCCTCCAACACACACGAACGCGCACATGACCAATGAGGGCACGAGATAAGTTTGTGCACGAGATGGAAGGCTGACAGGCAGGTAGGCCATCCAGTTATTTTAGCCGGGCCCACCTTTAAAACCTGTATCACTATCAAACCTCTGCTTCATTAAATGATGAACACTTTGCTCTCTGCTGATGACAGTGACAGAGGAGTTTCCACGTTGCAGAGCTTTAGGTTTAAATGCTGCTGCACATGCATTAAAATATATACATCCAGCCACTAAGGCAACTAATAAAAGGTAAATGAAGTAACTTTATTATGCAACGTTTGCTGAATAACAGCCAGTGAAATAGCGAGGTCTATCTTGAGTTTGCTAACATTAGCTAGCATTAGTCAATATAAACTACATACCAGACCAAGTAAGGCTGCAAAACAGATGACATGTTAAATCGAGCGAGGGCGCTTTGTTATTGTTTATGAATGCAATGTTTTGTTTGTGCGACAAGGAATGTGTTTATTTCTTTTGAAAGATACAAATTCTCGCTTTAAGACTTAATGAGCCGGTTATGTATTTGTTTTGCTCGAACACTAAACAGAGGAAGAAGATCTGAAAATCCTTCCTGTGTTGCAGATTATTTAGTGATTCTTAACGTTACCCACCGATCTTTCCCTTTTTTCCAAATCGATTTGTTTCTCTCAGCCCAAAGATGACTCACAGCTCGACTGGCTGCATGTCAGAAAGTGGAGCGCGTCATTACAGCTTTGTGTGATATTTTGTGTTGCATAACAATATTTGACTTGTTATGAAACTTTTACTCATTAGGCTTTTTAAGTTGCAGCACATGGTCTTCAGATGCAGAGCCGGTCTGTTGACATACAAGATATCTCATATCTCAAACTATTTCCAAATGTACGTTATTAAACTTTCATTCTTCATTTCCGGGCTTTTTTTCTGTGTCAGATGGATTGCTGATGGTGTCTGGGCAACAACACATCTGTATGTAAAGGAAAATGAAAATAAGGACTAAATAAGGACCAAATCCAGTCAAACAGCATGTACACATGACTAATTCATGTTTACATCAAATACTGAAACATGTTAATTACATTTGAGTTTAAAATCATAACTTAGATTTTTTTAACGGCTTTTTACAAGCAGGGGTTTCGACTTCTGTTAAAGGTGGGGTAGGTAAGTTTGAGAAACCGGCTCGAGATACACTTTTTGTTATATTCCATGGAATGCTCTTAACATCCCGATAGCAATTAATATCTTAAATGCTTTGACAATAAATACATAAAAATATTTCATCTGTGGAAGCCGTAGTACTGTAAAAAGTACGACCAATCATCTGAGCCGGCCCGGCTAAAAGGGCCTACCTGCCTGTCAGCCTTCCATCTGTGCACAAACTTATCTCGTGCCCTCATTGGTCATGTGCGCGTTCGTGTGTGTTGGAGGAGGGGCTCTGTAAGGAAGTGG